CCTGATGCGTCCAAAGCCCTCTTCCATTGGGATGGAGTCTGCATTGCAGCAGTCTGAACAGGGGGGGGCTACCCGGACCGCGGCTCTCCAAGGGGACCCAGCAAGCTGAGCGGAGCCTCCCTGTGGAGGAGCAGTCTACCTCCGAAGAGCAGCGAGGGGCCCCTCCGTCCGGCTGCTTCCACCGCCCGCAAAGCCGAGAGGGGGCTGAAGTGGGGCCTTTCCCTTGCAGCTTCTCGGTCACCAGCGGCCTCCGCCAAGCCCTGAGGGAGGGTCCGCCGGTGGAGGCCGGCCCCAAGGCCCTGCTCTCCCCTCTGGCCTTCCAAGTCTCCCGCATCGGCTGCCTCAACCTCGCCATCCCCGGAAAGCCCCCGGGAGACTTCTGCCAGGACCAGCCCAGCCACCCCGTCAGCTGAAGGGAAGCCCAGCGGAGAGCAAGCGCCGTCCGTCCACGGCTGGGCTTCTCCCCACCCTACGCCAGGCGGAGCGGGGGGGGGGGGAGAAATGTCAAGTGTATTTTTAAAACAATGATTACTTGTTTCTACACCCCTGGCCCTCCGAGTCCACTTTGTCTCCTGAAGGGATTGAGAGGGTGGGAGGGAGGGAAAGGGGGAGGAGGAAGAAAAGGGAGGGAAGGAAAGGGAGGGAGGAAAATAAGGGATGGAGGGATGGAGAAGGAAAGGAGGAGGGAGGGAGGGAAAGGAGGAAGAAGAGGGAGGAGGGAAGGAAAGGGAGTGAGGGAGGCGGAAGGAGGAAGAAGGAAAGGGAGGGAGGAAAGGAAGAACAAAAGGGAGGGATGGAGGAAGAAGGGAAAGGAGGGAGGGAGGGAAAAGTGGAAGAAGAGGGAGGAGGGAGGAAGGAAAGGGAGGGAGAGAGGGAGGATGGAGGAAGAAGGGAAGGGAGGGAAAGGAGGAAGAAGGGAAGGAAGGAAAGAAGAGGAAAATAAGGGAGGGAAAAGTGGAAGAAGAGGGAGGAGGGAAGAAGAGAAAAAAGGGAGGAAGGACAGAAGGAGGAAGAAGGGGGGAAGGGAAGGGGGAAAGGAAGGAAGGAAAGGGAAGGATGGAGGAAGAAGGGAGGGAAGGGAAAGGAGGGAGGGAGGGAAACGTGGAAGAAGAGGGAGGAGGGAAGAAGGGAAGGGAGGGAAAGGAGGAAGAAGGGAAGGAAGGAAAGGGAGGGATGGAGGAAGAAGAGAGGAAAATAAGGGATGGAGGAAGAAGGGAGGGAAGGAAAGAAGAGGAAAATAAGGGAGGGAAAAGTGGAAGAAGAGGGAGGAGAGAAGAAGAGAAAAAAGGGAGGAAGGACAGAAGGAGGAAGAAGGGGGGAAGGGAAGGGGGGAGGGAGGGAAGGATGGAGAAAGGAGAGAGGGAGGGAAAGGAGGGAGGGAGGGAAAAGTGGAAGAAGAGGGAGGAGGGAAGAAGGGAAGGGAGAGAGGGAGGAATGGAAGGAGGAAGAATGGAAGGGAGGGAGGGAAAGGAGGAAAAAGGGAAGTAAAGAAGGGAAGTAAAGAAGGGAGGGAGGGAAAAGTGGAAGAAGAGGGAGGGGGGGAGAAGGGAAGGAAGAAACCAGAGACCATCTCTTCTGGGGTGGAGGAAGAGGCTTACTGGGAAATCGGGGCCGTTGAGGCGCTTTTTTCCCCGCTCTTTTCAAGTGTTTGCAAAGGGATTTTTCCCGAGGAAGCTGCTCCGTCTCTTCCTGCACCGAGTCCCTCGTGAGGCGCAGCCGAACGAGCAGGTGCATTGACTTCAGGCTGTAAAGCGACACTCACTGAAGGAGTGAGCTGCGCATGCGCTCCAGCGAAGCGGCCCTTCTGGTTCGTCGGCGCGCTCTTCCGCTTCCGGATCAGAGGGGGTCGCCATGGCGGTGCTGGCTTCCAACCCCAACAACCCCGTAGTCTTCTTCGATGTCACCATCGGCGGGCAGGTAGGCCTCGGGCGGAGGGAGCGGGGCCGGGAGGGAGAGCCGGGCTTCGGCTCCTGACGCCTCCGTCCCTCTGCAGGAGGTGGGCCGCATGAAGGTGGAGCTCTTCGCCGACGTGGTGCCCAAGACGGCCGAGAACTTCAGGTGAGGGAGCCGGCGGGAAGGCGGGTGCCACAGAGAAGGGAGGCCAGAGCGGCAGCGCACCACAGAGCGGCCCGTCCTAGAGCGCTGCACTCCTTTAACAGCTGGCTGGGGATGATGGGCGCAGGGAGATAAAGACGAAGCTCTCCGGCGAAAGGCACTCACAAGCCTCCCCGTCCTCCCCCCTCGTTCCGAGCTCAGAGGCGTCCCTTTCCTGCGGAACTCCCCACCACTTGGTTGCTCATTGTCTTGGTGACATATACAGGTAGTCCTCCACTTACAGCTGTTCATTTAATGACCAATTACCAGGAAAAGCAACATGGCTGTCCTTTCACGCTTACAACTGTCGCAGCATCTCCCTGGTCACGTGTTCAAAATTCAGATGCTTGGCCACTGATTCACATTTATGACGGTCGCAGGTCAAATGATCCCCGACCTCCAGCAAAGTTAATGGGGGAAGCTGGATTCGCTTAATGGCTGTACGGTTCAGTTAAACAACTGCAGCGATTCGTTTAACAACTATGACAACAAAGGTCATGAAGTGGGGGGGACACTTCACTTACCAACTTTTGTGACCGTACAATTGAGGACTCCCTGTATAGAAAACCCTATTTAAAGCTACGTATCCCACCTCTCTCAATGATCCAGGGAGTTTCTTTGCTGAATTTAACTCCCTCCCTCCGAATAATCAGCCTCTCTGCCTTTAACCTTCTTCAGCCTTTCCTTTTTTTCTTTTTCTTTCCAGGCAATTTTGCACGGGGGAATTCAGGTGGGTCGATTCTTTTGAGCTTTCAATTAAACAATGGATTTGATCCACCTGGAAGACTGTCAGCCCAGGATGAAAAGAAGAACAATACCCAACTTTATATTTCATACTTTATGCGTTTATTTAGGCAAATGTGGTTAGACACACAAGGAATTTGTCTCAGGCACTCAGTGTACTCGCCAAACAGCACGAAAGTATGCAGCCAATAAAAGATGGAAGTAATAAATAAAGGGATAAATAATAATAGGCTTGTGAAGAGAACTGCTGCCCCTCTCTGTCGTTTGGTCCTGGGACCCTGCTTCCAGCAGAAGAAATTAGCCAGTTTTAAAGAGCACAAAGTGTTGATTTAAGAACAAAACAGTGAGAAATGACAGGTTGTGAGTTGGGGTGTTGTCTCTTGGGGCCCAGAGAAATCTCGGTTGCTGGCTATCGGGACAACTGCCAATTTCTGACAGTGCTTTTTTCTCCTGCAGGAAAGACGGTGTTCCCATCGGTTACAAAGGCAGCACTTTTCACAGGTACGTTGGCCTTTGGGCTCCGGAAGGCTAGTTTTTGCCTCCAAGGTCCCTTCCAACTGGGTTAGTCTGTTATCCTGAGGGGCTTCCCTTAAGTGGGAAAGACTCCTCGCCTTCCAGGGTTTAACAAGCTGTTTGTGAAGTTCCCAATCTGGTGTTTTAAGCGTGGCCGTGGGATTCCTCGGCCTCCCTAATATTTCTCTTTTCCTTTTCAAGGGTTATAAAGGACTTCATGATCCAAGGAGGCGATTTTGTAAACGTAAGTACTTCACAGCCCTTTCACCGGCATTTGACTTGGAACGAATACACATTTGCCAAGCTCATTTATGCGGGTGAGATTGGAAGTTACCCCACCAAGGAGCTGCACCCTGGCCCCCTCCTTCAGAGACCCAAGCTAAATTCCTCAGGAAAACTTTAAAAAGTGTTCAGGCTAAAAAGCATTTGCTGGAAGGAAGTGGCTGTTTTAAACTTCCCCTTTCCTTGATTCTGTTTAACTTCCACATCGCGGAAGGGAAGGCCGTTGCAAACTGAACTCCTTCACCCTGCGGTTTTCCTGGCAAGGCCCCCTTTTTTCTCCTACGTGTTCATATTTTATAAGTAGGGTTTATAGCTCTAGTTGATTCGGGAGGGAGGGGGGAGAATTTGTAATGCAGTATCAAAGGAATAAGGAAGGAGTGATTGCAGAGGCTCAGGTGTCCATGCAAATTGTACTGGTGCCCTTAGAATGTCATTTTTAAACATTGGTGATTGGAGCAGGCTCATTCCAGATCAGTGGTTTTATACCTGTTTGCCAAGGGAATTGCTGCGTGGTTCATGAGGCCTCCCTTCCCTCTCCCCTTCCCTTTCCCCTCTTCTTTTTTTCACCATCCTTCCCTCCCTCCCTCGTCTCTCTCCATAGGGAGATGGCACTGGAGTGGCCAGCATCTATCGGGGACCCTTTGCCGACGAGAACTTCAAGCTGAAGCACTCAGCACCCGGCTTGCTCTCCATGGTAAAGAAGAGCCTGAAGTTGGGCCCCTTCATGGCCTGAATGCAGAGTCGTATTTGGGGGGGGGGGCATGCTTAGGAGAGCCCAGAGGGAGAGCCACTGGGGTGGGTGATCCCGTCTAGGAATCTATCCCTGCCTTCCTCTCCTCCTGTGATAGATTTCAGGGGGAGGGAGGGCTACAGTCAGGAAGACCCTANGAAAGGAGAGAGGGAGGGAAAGGAGGGAGGGAGGGAAAAGTGGAAGAAGAGGGAGGAGGGAAGAAGGGAAGGGAGAGAGGGAGGAATGGAAGGAGGAAGAATGGAAGGGAGGGAGGGAAAGGAGGAAAAAGGGAAGTAAAGAAGGGAAGTAAAGAAGGGAGGGAGGGAAAAGTGGAAGAAGAGGGAGGGGGGGAGAAGGGAAGGAAGAAACCAGAGACCATCTCTTCTGGGGTGGAGGAAGAGGCTTACTGGGAAATCGGGGCCGTTGAGGCGCTTTTTTCCCCGCTCTTTTCAAGTGTTTGCAAAGGGATTTTTCCCGAGGAAGCTGCTCCGTCTCTTCCTGCACCGAGTCCCTCGTGAGGCGCAGCCGAACGAGCAGGTGCATTGACTTCAGGCTGTAAAGCGACACTCACTGAAGGAGTGAGCTGCGCATGCGCTCCAGCGAAGCGGCCCTTCTGGTTCGTCGGCGCGCTCTTCCGCTTCCGGATCAGAGGGGGTCGCCATGGCGGTGCTGGCTTCCAACCCCAACAACCCCGTAGTCTTCTTCGATGTCACCATCGGCGGGCAGGTAGGCCTCGGGCGGAGGGAGCGGGGCCGGGAGGGAGAGCCGGGCTTCGGCTCCTGACGCCTCCGTCCCTCTGCAGGAGGTGGGCCGCATGAAGGTGGAGCTCTTCGCCGACGTGGTGCCCAAGACGGCCGAGAACTTCAGGTGAGGGAGCCGGCGGGAAGGCGGGTGCCACAGAGAAGGGAGGCCAGAGCGGCAGCGCACCACAGAGCGGCCCGTCCTAGAGCGCTGCACTCCTTTAACAGCTGGCTGGGGATGATGGGCGCAGGGAGATAAAGACGAAGCTCTCCGGCGAAAGGCACTCACAAGCCTCCCCGTCCTCCCCCCTCGTTCCGAGCTCAGAGGCGTCCCTTTCCTGCGGAACTCCCCACCACTTGGTTGCTCATTGTCTTGGTGACATATACAGGTAGTCCTCCACTTACAGCTGTTCATTTAATGACCAATTACCAGGAAAAGCAACATGGCTGTCCTTTCACGCTTACAACTGTCGCAGCATCTCCCTGGTCACGTGTTCAAAATTCAGATGCTTGGCCACTGATTCACATTTATGACGGTCGCAGGTCAAATGATCCCCGACCTCCAGCAAAGTTAATGGGGGAAGCTGGATTCGCTTAATGGCTGTACGGTTCAGTTAAACAACTGCAGCGATTCGTTTAACAACTATGACAACAAAGGTCATGAAGTGGGGGGGACACTTCACTTACCAACTTTTGTGACCGTACAATTGAGGACTCCCTGTATAGAAAACCCTATTTAAAGCTACGTATCCCACCTCTCTCAATGATCCAGGGAGTTTCTTTGCTGAATTTAACTCCCTCCCTCCGAATAATCAGCCTCTCTGCCTTTAACCTTCTTCAGCCTTTCCTTTTTTTCTTTTTCTTTCCAGGCAATTTTGCACGGGGGAATTCAGGTGGGTCGATTCTTTTGAGCTTTCAATTAAACAATGGATTTGATCCACCTGGAAGACTGTCAGCCCAGGATGAAAAGAAGAACAATACCCAACTTTATATTTCATACTTTATGCGTTTATTTAGGCAAATGTGGTTAGACACACAAGGAATTTGTCTCAGGCACTCAGTGTACTCGCCAAACAGCACGAAAGTATGCAGCCAATAAAAGATGGAAGTAATAAATAAAGGGATAAATAATAATAGGCTTGTGAAGAGAACTGCTGCCCCTCTCTGTCGTTTGGTCCTGGGACCCTGCTTCCAGCAGAAGAAATTAGCCAGTTTTAAAGAGCACAAAGTGTTGATTTAAGAACAAAACAGTGAGAAATGACAGGTTGTGAGTTGGGGTGTTGTCTCTTGGGGCCCAGAGAAATCTCGGTTGCTGGCTATCGGGACAACTGCCAATTTCTGACAGTGCTTTTTTCTCCTGCAGGAAAGACGGTGTTCCCATCGGTTACAAAGGCAGCACTTTTCACAGGTACGTTGGCCTTTGGGCTCCGGAAGGCTAGTTTTTGCCTCCAAGGTCCCTTCCAACTGGGTTAGTCTGTTATCCTGAGGGGCTTCCCTTAAGTGGGAAAGACTCCTCGCCTTCCAGGGTTTAACAAGCTGTTTGTGAAGTTCCCAATCTGGTGTTTTAAGCGTGGCCGTGGGATTCCTCGGCCTCCCTAATATTTCTCTTTTCCTTTTCAAGGGTTATAAAGGACTTCATGATCCAAGGAGGCGATTTTGTAAACGTAAGTACTTCACAGCCCTTTCACCGGCATTTGACTTGGAACGAATACACATTTGCCAAGCTCATTTATGCGGGTGAGATTGGAAGTTACCCCACCAAGGAGCTGCACCCTGGCCCCCTCCTTCAGAGACCCAAGCTAAATTCCTCAGGAAAACTTTAAAAAGTGTTCAGGCTAAAAAGCATTTGCTGGAAGGAAGTGGCTGTTTTAAACTTCCCCTTTCCTTGATTCTGTTTAACTTCCACATCGCGGAAGGGAAGGCCGTTGCAAACTGAACTCCTTCACCCTGCGGTTTTCCTGGCAAGGCCCCCTTTTTTCTCCTACGTGTTCATATTTTATAAGTAGGGTTTATAGCTCTAGTTGATTCGGGAGGGAGGGGGGAGAATTTGTAATGCAGTATCAAAGGAATAAGGAAGGAGTGATTGCAGAGGCTCAGGTGTCCATGCAAATTGTACTGGTGCCCTTAGAATGTCATTTTTAAACATTGGTGATTGGAGCAGGCTCATTCCAGATCAGTGGTTTTATACCTGTTTGCCAAGGGAATTGCTGCGTGGTTCATGAGGCCTCCCTTCCCTCTCCCCTTCCCTTTCCCCTCTTCTTTTTTTCACCATCCTTCCCTCCCTCCCTCGTCTCTCTCCATAGGGAGATGGCACTGGAGTGGCCAGCATCTATCGGGGACCCTTTGCCGACGAGAACTTCAAGCTGAAGCACTCAGCACCCGGCTTGCTCTCCATGGTAAAGAAGAGCCTGAAGTTGGGCCCCTTCATGGCCTGAATGCAGAGTCGTATTTGGGGGGGGGGGCATGCTTAGGAGAGCCCAGAGGGAGAGCCACTGGGGTGGGTGATCCCGTCTAGGAATCTATCCCTGCCTTCCTCTCCTCCTGTGATAGATTTCAGGGGGAGGGAGGGCTACAGTCAGGAAGACCCTAGCAGACCACTCTTTCCACCCGGCTTTGTGTCTGAAAAGGCCGGGACGGAGAGCATCCCCCTTCCCTCTGGGCTTCTCTCCCCAACCCCAAAGTTTGCTCTTCTCTCTGGGTCACCCTCCGGGTTTCCCCACTGTCCCTTGGGATCGGTGCCTGGGAGGAAAGGGTTAACCACAGCCCCTCTTCCCTTCCTCCTCCTCCTCCTCCCCGGAACCCCTTGGATCAGGCTGCTGGCTATTTATAGGAGCTGCTGCTCCGGCCTTGCTCGGTTTGGGCAGACAAATGGGCTAGGCTCAGGAGGGCTGGGGGGGGGGAGTGTCCTTGATCGGGCTGCCCAGCAGGAAGACCACCCCCAACCCACCAACGCCCAGGTCTTGCATAGCGATGTTGAATTGGAGGCCCCCCAAAGGAAGGGACGTTTGAATCCTCTCCCCAAGCCTGGAATGGCCGGGAAAGGCTTGACCGCAGAGGAGGGGTCATTCTCCTCAGCTGCCCCTCCCCTCTTTCCCTGCAGGCCAACAGCGGCCCCAGCACCAACGGCTGCCAGTTCTTCATCACCTGCTCCAAGTGCGACTGGCTGGATGGGAAACACGTGGTTTTCGGTGAGTCACCGCAGGCCGGCTGGGGGTCAGGGGCCCTGGTCCGCCCCATTAGCTTGGGTGTGCCTATCCTGACGCCCCAAATTCATGGCAGATCTGCCCTGGGAAGCCCCCATTTTCTGGGCCTCCCAAAATGCTTGTCTCTGTGTCTCCCTTCCTTGCTGCCTCAGGAGCCCCAAAAGGTTAAGGGAGCAACATGGGGAATTCTGGGAGTTGAGGTCCACAAGTCGTAAAGGCTGTACCCCCTCCCCCCTCTGCTTCCTTTCTCATTCTCCCCTCCAAGGGTTACAGAGCACACCTGCGTGGCTCTTCCTCGGCTAAGGAATTCAGAATTGCTTGTTCTTTTTTCCTCCCCCCGGCAGGTAAAATAATTGATGGGCTTCTAGTCATGAGGAAAATAGAGGTAAGTGGTGCTTGTCTCTGGGTTTGGGATGAAACTCTGCTGTCCAAGAAACCACAGAAAAATTAGGCGGTTTCGCTTCCTAGAGGAAAGATTATTTTAATTTGCTGTTCCAGCCCGAGGCTTCTCAGAGTCTCCCATCCTGCCCTTCAGGATTCAAATCCTGCCTGGGCAGCTTAGAAGAGCAGCAGGTGGTGTAGGAGCCCTGGTGGTGCCCATGCCTCTCTGCTGGCTTTTTCTGTCCAGGAGAAGCTGCAGGGTCCTGGGGGCTCTCTGAGCTTGGCGGCTTTCTTGCAGACGTTTCATGACCCACCTGGGTAACATCATCAGTGCTAGAAGGGAGTGGGGTTTGTGGAGAGGAGGAGGAGGCAGAGGGGAAGGGGGGAAGAAGAGCAGGACTGTGGGGTCCTTGGTGCTCTCTGAGCTTGCTGGTTTTCTTGCAGAACTTTCATGGCCCAACTAGGGAACATCATCAGTGCTAGAAGGCAGGTTGTGAGCGTGGGGGTGGGGGGAGGACTGTGGGGTCCTTGATGCTCTCGTTTTCTTGCAGACATTTCATTAACAATAGCAATAGCAGTTAGACTTATATACTGCTTCATAGGGCTTTCAGCCCTCTCTAAGCGGTTTACAGGGTCAGCATATCGCCCCCAACAACAATCCGGGTCCTCATTTCGCCCACCTCGGAAGGATGGAAGGCTGAGTCAACC